TTAATGTTTTCACTTCACTCAAATGATTCACAAAATATTATAAATATATTTGGAGAGAAAACAACAGCAAATCGAACAAAACGTTAACACGTGGGGAATTCAAGTGAAGGCTTTTTACACTTTTGCACCTTTTCTGTAGGTCACAATTGGAAAGTGGCCTGGCCTGTGTGGCTCCTTTGGTTGGTCCCATGCACCAGGAGGTCGCTGGCTTAATTCCTGGTCAGGGCACACACCTGGTTTTGGGCTCAATCCTCATAGGGGATGTGCAAGAGGCAGCCAATGTATGGCTCTATCCCTCTCTCCATCTTCTCTGAAATCAATGAAAAAATAGTTTTAAAAAATTGATAAAGATGTTTTTTTGAAATATATTTTTATTTATTTCAGAGAGAAAGGCAGAGGGAGAGATAGAAACATCAATGATGAGAATCATTGATTGGCTGCCTCCTGCACAACCCTCATTGGGCATCAAACCCATAATCCAGGCATGTCCCCTCCAGGAATCAAACCAAGATCTCCTGATACATAGGTTGAAGCTCCTCAACTGGGCACACCGGCAGGGGGATAAATATATTTTTAAAAGTGGTAACAAGAACACTAAATAAAATAAAAAAAGCTAAAACTTTTAGAATTTATTTTTAAGCTTCATATCTAGAATTACCTATTTAAGATGTTTTGTAAATTTAGCCTTAAAATATGAACAAATTGAACTTTCAATTCCATTTAATGCTTTCATAGTAGAAATTACATAACTGTGTTGCTCATATTTTTATCCTATTCATTAAATGTAATTCCAGATCTACGTATGTTAAAGAAAAATACCTCTCTTTTACACATTCATTTACAAAATATTTTAAATGTTTACAGTTATTTTCCTTTAAATTATGACAATAACTTATTTAATCAATTTTTTAAAAATATATTTTTATTGATTTCAGAGAGAAAGAGAGAAGGGGAGATAGAAACATCAATGAGGAGAATCATTGATTGGCTGCTTCCTGTATGCCCCACACTGGGGATTCAGCCTGCAATTCAGTGCCCTGATCAGGAATCAAACCATGACCTCCTGGTTCATAGGTTGATGCTCAACCACTGAGCCAATCTGGCTGGGCTATTTTATTGGTTATATTCAATGATTGTTTTTAGTTTGTTTGGACGTAGTTTTAAACCAGAATGTTATCTATTTAGTGGTGCTCTGATACATGTATTCATGTATAAATAACAAAGAACCCTGTAACCATCAGATTACCAATGCACTATATTTTGTTAAAGCATAGATAATTATTTTGCAATGTGACTTCCTAACTAATTTAAACTGGTAATTATGTCAAAGGTTTGAGTAGAGAAAGGTATAAACAGGAGGAAGATGGTAATTCCTTACAATAGTACTTGACAGATGATGAGCACAAAATATTTGTTGGGGGCGGGAGGGATTATTACATAATTTCATATCATTTGCAATATATCATTAGAAACAATGAGTGTTGAATGATAATTAGATGCTTAAAAATCTAAAGATGCAAAAATAACCTTTCTTAAAATCAACAGAAATCAAATCACAAAAGCTTTTGGTGAAAATGAAATTTTAAATATTTATTTTGACATGCTGTTTTTATGAAGCTATAACCTAGCAGAGGTGTTGACATATTAATATCAAATTAAGACTAAGAAAAATAAAAGACACATTGTATATATTGTATAATAACATCAAGCTATGAAGTTATTAAAAATTTAAAACCAGAATTTGAAGGAATGTCACCAAGCTAATAGAAAGTTGCTAGTATTAAAACTTGTTGATACATGTCTACAAGACCGAATTTAGGTTCCACTGTATTCAAGCCCTGACTCAACACTTATGATGACTTCAGAAGCAATCCAAAAAAGGTACAGTCCACAAGAGACATGTGCAAAGGACTTTCAAATACTTTATCTTTTTAAAATCAAATTACCATTTAAGCACTTTATTTTCTACATAGAATTAGGTGAAATAGCAGATACTGAAGATAAACTAAAGTTATGCATACTAGTATTTATGCATACTTTGAGTATTTTATTATAGGCCACTGAATAGTATGATGCATTTTTATCATTCCATACGAATTTATTGAATACTTCCACACATACTGCAGTGTGGGCATACAGATTTAGTGTAAGATATGCCCCGATCTCTTTGAGTTTGTACTTTTAGTTTTTCATTTTATTTTATTGAATTTATTGAGGTGGCATTTATTCAGATGTACAATTCTATACACATCACCTGTGTGCTCACCACCCCAAGTAAAGTCTCCTTCCATTATTCACCCTCTTCTACCTCCTCCCACCCCTTTTATCTCTGGTAATCACAATACTCTTATGTGTGAGTGAGGTTGTTGGTGGTGGTGTGTCTGTGTGTGTGTGTTTGGGGATTTTTTTTTTTTGCTTTAATCCTTTCACCTTTTTCACCCAGCCTCCCAATCCCTTCCCCTCTGATAGCTGTCAGTCTGTTCTCAGTATCTATGAGACTATTTCTGTTTGTTAGATTAGTTTATTCATTAGATTCCACATATAAGTGAGATCATATGGCACTTGTTTTTCTCTGACTGGTTTATTTCACTTAGCATAATACTCTCTAGGTCCATCCATTCTGTCACAAAAGGTAAGATTTCCTTTTTTTTTTTTTTTCAGCCAAATAGTATTCCAGTGTGTAAATGTACCACAACTTTTTTATCCACTCATCTGCTGATGGGCACTTAGCTGGTTCCAAATATTGACTATTGTAAATAATACTGCATTGAACACAGGGGTGCATATGGTCTTTCCAACTAGTGTTTTCAGATTTCTTCATATATATTTCCAGGAGTGGAAATCCTGGATCATAAGGTATTATAGTTCCATTTTTAATTTTTGAGGTAACTCCATACTGTTTTCCACAGTGGCTCCACCAATCAGCATTCCCACCAACAGTGCACAAGGGACATTTTAATTTCTAGTTAAAATTAATCCCAATTTCTACTTCAAGATATTCCACAAATTAAGGGGTGAAGGGTTAAAGAATAGTACAGCTGCTCAAAGGAAGCATGAGATGAATTAATACAAATTTCAGGAAAAGGATTTGAAGTATTTTTCATAAGACAGGAATCTAACAAGATAAGTATGTGAACATTTTATACTATAGTACCAAAGATAAAATCTCCCTGAAAATCTCTTCCATATAAAAATTCAAAAGAAAAAAGAAAGAAAACTGATCAAGCCATGTTAGCAGAGAATGTACATCAGCATTTTGAGAATTAGTAACTTAATACATAATTGCTCATTAAAACATTCAGCTGCATAGGAAATATTACAATATAATGTAATAAAAGAAATAGCACCTTGTAAAATTCAAGCTATCTAAAATGAGAGTTTGAAAAACTATTCTGAACTACAAATCAAGTGACATCATTTGATAATAATGTGGTCACAAAATTTTGAAGTGTAATGTTACATGTTGAGGTAAACACAAGCAATAACAGAACATTTAAATCCAAAATTATGCCTATATATCATGGTAGGCAAAAATTCCTTTTCTTTTTAAGTCCCATATTTAGTGTTCTCTCTAAACTGGGTTACTTGACTAAGGTGTATGCCTTAACATAAGGAGGAAAAATTTTAAAGACCCTACTTAAGAATTAAAACAACATAAAAGTATATCTTTCAGTGTATCATTCTATTAAACACATAGAGAGCTTTATTATAAGACTTGCTTCTCAGTGGAATTCAGATAAAGTTCAGGCCATAGGCCAAAACTTCTTACCTCAGTACCTCAAAAATGTTATTATAATTTTTATTAGACAATTCCATGGTTTAGAGCAGCCTTTCTCAGCCAGAGTTCTGAGTATAATATTACTATCAGACCTATGTCTTTATTTTTTAACTTGAAGCATGGTACATGAAGATTCATGCAAGAATGGGCCTTCCTTCCGCTGATTGCCAGCACTGCCTTCTCTCTGGCCAGAGCAGCCTTTCTGCTTTTGCTCCATCCTGGAGCCACCCTTCTGCCTTCACTCCAGACTGGAGCTACCTTGCCACCTTCCCACACTGCCCAGAAGCCTGGAGTGGCTGGGGTGGTTCAGAATGCCTGCATCATCGCCATGGTGATGATGCAAGCAGCCTGCCCCTGGCCATTTGGCGCCTGTGTATGCAAATTGACCCACCAGCTTTGCTGGGTTAATTTGCATATTCATTTCTGATTAGCTGGTGAGTATCACAAAGGTATGGTAAATTTGCATTTTTCTCTTTTATTAGTGTAGATGAGGGAGGCAAAGTTAATATATACTTATGTTGTTTCTAATCCATTAAAACCTTTAGCATTGAAAAAGTTGTCTTTGAATGGCTAATTTAAATAAAAATAAATTTGCCTAGTAGTGTAAATAATTTCAATGGCATAGATATATTTTCAAATAATATTTTCCAACTGTGACATCTATATCAAAAATCTCACAACAGTAATGTATAGCCATGCTTCCAAAACTTGTTATTAATCAAAACACTCTCTTATAACTTTAAAAAAATAGCTCTTGGTTTCAAAAAACACCAATACATTATTAATGAGCTATTATAACTCTGTATTTACTTTCATTTATAAATATCACATAAATTATTACTGGCAGGACTAAAATGTTAAATCACTAAACTAATTGCTAAATATTGGTTTTTAAAGCTTTGTTGCAAAACAATTTAGTGAAACTAAACACACACACACACACACACACACACACACACACACACACACACACACAAACTAACAAAAGGGTTTTCGCAAGTAATACAATGATAGGAGTTGATAAATACTTGCATAGTTCTGGTAGAAAATGTACCTGGCACAATGTGAAGACAAATATTGGCAAACACCACATGTCTCAAGTTATATTTGAAGAAATAATACAATCTGTAATATTTCATGAAGTTGTTTATTCTTGTAATTAAAACTTGGACTCAAGTAATCCTGGTTATTCTGGAAAAAGCACCTTGTTTGTAGAGGTCATTTAATCATCCTTTTCTACAATCACCTCTCCATGAAGCACCTTTCTTCTTTGACGTAACATGTAAAAATAGAGCTGTGGAAACACTTCATGGAAAAAAAGAAAACAAAGCAAGATAAGCTATTGTTGGAAATTATTTAAACTTGAAATCTCTTAGAGGTGTCAAAGTTTGAAAGCAAGCACATCAGAGGCCACTGCCAACCCCTAGCATTTACAGAGCTCAGGGAAGAGTACAGATGGAGGCCAACGACCATCGGCCTAAATACTCTAATGCATAAGCTGTGAGGTCTCATAGCAAACTTTAATACTGCCTTGACAAATACTCTTTCATAATGACCTGGAAGGCCATGTGTGAATTTAGTAACAATTTGGAATATTGTGCCAGAATATTCCAGCGCAGGAGAGCTGCCTGCCTGACCCCTGCTCTCCATTCCATTGGCTGTCCTGTACCACAAGGGGTATTGTGAGTATATGTGTGGATGTGCAAGCCCACACAGTTCATACCTCCATCCATACCCCTCGCAAACACCTGCCCCTAGCTACCTCTGGATTTCAGGGCTGTGTACACTGCCTACATGGCGTACCCTCAGGAGAACAGACTGAGGAGGAGGCCTATGCGTGCCTAGATGTACACTCAGTGCCCTGTGGGCAGCAAATTCCATGGCCCCAGGTTTCCAGAGTGTGATCTAGAAGGCGGTGGGTGGAGAGGTGATCAGTGGTCAGCCAAGCAGAGGCCCCTCTTGGCTGGGTATGGGAGCAGTCATTTTATACAGGCACATACAAGGGCATGTATTACATCAGACAAACTGTCATCTGCCCTATCAAATTCGGAGAATTATTCTGAGTCAATGTGAATCAATGATTTAAATTAACACTGTAAGCGTTAATGGATGAACAAATTCACATTAACTATCAACAATACAAATGTAAAAATGTCCCTGAAAATGGGCACAGAATAATCAAACCAATGACTTTAATGACAAAACAAGCTTTGAATATCTAGCTTCAGCAACTTCAGATAACTCTTTTTAGACTGTGGCTCAAATGGAGCAAAAATGCAGGTACTATTTAAAATGTAGGTACTATTCATCTTAATATACGTAACCATCATTCTAAAACTAGGGATCTATCGATAAATATATTCAGGTCATATATACTGAAAGCTAAATGACCAGTGATTGCAAATGCTTCTCTAACACTCTGAGTTTAGTAGAAGTGTAGGCTTGAGTTCCAATCCTAATCTTTTTTTACTAGTTGGGTGACTTTTAATCCATCCACTTAACCACTCTATTCTATAATGTCCTCATGATAAATGAGAACTAACAATATTTCTTTTGAATATTAAAATAAGTACTCAAAAAGTATTTTTAATGCTTTTAATTAGCAAAAGAATTTAGTAAGTAAAGCACCTTTATCATCACTAATAATAATAAAGTGGAGAACATCCCCCCGGCTGACTGATCTTCCAGCAAGTGGGCCTCTCAGGTAAACGTCAGCATAATAAACTGAGAAGCTGCTACTGGCATAGGAGAGGGTCTACGCTTCCCAGGACACCTGCAAACACATGGTTGAAAGTTATTAGTTTGCTGGCTTCCACCATGATCTATTGAGCCCTGGGTTTTCTTGCAGATGTCACAGTGGTCAAAAGGAATGAGAACCCAACCCCTGAAACTGCAACTATGATATGACAGACACTGAAGCAAGGTCTGGCTCTGCTCACAGTGTGCTGCCATTCACTGAGTGTTGGGAAAAGCAGGAGATACAAATAACTGTCATAGGTGTACCACTCCTTAGCTCTCCTGAGCTAACACTGGTCAAAACCTAACGAGAGTCAGGCTGAAATGGTACCAGTGAGGGTAATAAAAACACTACCTGACCAAAGCCAATTTTGATTTTGAAAAGCTTACTGACACCAATCTCTAATTTTATTCAGAAGGGTAACTAACCACCTTGCTTTACATTATTTCCTGCTAGTAACTATCAAAATTTGACCTAAACATTTATCATTATTAGTGCTTAAATGAAGCAATTAAAGCCTAATTCATTGCAACTATTGAAAGGTGATGAGAAATGAGAGGAGGCTGAGTTACTAAAAATATTTTAAGAAAAGTTAGCTTCATTATTTTCCAGAGCATAAAGCAACACATAATGATATAAGACTAAAAAGTATTTCTAGATGATTTCTCCAAGTATATGCTCAATGAATAGATAAAAATGACCCGGCATTTTCTAGGATAAAATGTTTCTATTAAATACATAACTCTAAATGCTTACAAATAATTCACTGGCCCATACTCTATCTTTTCTCTTTTAAAAAGAAAAAAATCATATGTAGCTTATTTTTAAGTAATTTTGAGAAGGTAGTCATTTGTATATTAATTTACTTACTTTTCTTCTCATAACTTGGAAAAAGCCTTTTCTAACTCACTAAATCTTCAATTATCTATATAATAAAAGCCTAAGTGAGCCTTACAGTGGAACTACCAAAATGACCAGTCACTCTGATGCGCACTGATCACCAGGGGGCAGATGCTCAGTGCAGGAGCTGCCCCCTGGTGGTCAGTGAGCTCCCACAGGGGATGTGTTGCTCAGCCAGAGCCGGGCTGGAGAGTGCAAGAGAGGTGTCGGAAGCCTCTCCCACCTCCGAGGCAGTGCTAAGGAACAGCGAGCAGATGGGCAATAAGGAGCGAGGGATCCCGGACTGCCAGAGAGATGTCCACCTTCCAGCTTAGGCAGACATTCCCCCGAGGGGTCCTGGACTGTGAGAGGGTCCCCTCCTCTCCCTGCTGGCCAGTGCATGAATTGCGTGCACCAGGCCTCTAGTTTCATATAAATGAATCTATGTGGGATTGAAGAGGTATTTTTTTATATACACATTTATTGAGGTGTAATTTTCATATCATAAAATTCACCCATTTGAAGTGTACAGTTTTAGTTTAGTAAATTTATACAGCTGTGCAACCATCACTACAATCCAGTTTTAGAGCATTTCCATAAATAGAAGTTTTGATGCATTTGTAAGCTGTTACTTCTCCTTGCTTCTTAAGCTAGCAATTATGATCTCTCTCCAGAAACTTTCATAGCATATGTTAAATCAAAGTACTAATAAACACATACTTACATGGTATATATGAGGCCATGGTTATAAGAAGAAAATAATAGTAGTCAAAAGAGATATTGTATTTATTAGGAAGTCTTATTGAATACATTCCACTTTTCTTCACATGTGGTAAGGCAGCGTATATTGTGAGAAGTTCACCGGCAACTCCAATAGGATATAAGATGATAAAAAAATTATATCTGGAAAAAGAAAAACCTCAAAGTTATTTTTCTAGAATAAGTATTGAATTTTGTATCATGGTTCTTTTGCTACTGCTATGTTTAAACTTAAAAATTCTCCTCCCTATACATATTTACAAGAACTTCACATAAAAAGGTTAATTTTTTCCTACTTTAATCATTTGCTTATTAATTTAATTATCATCCTTTTTCTCATAGCAGTCTCCATTTCAAATGGCAAGATCATAAAAAAGTCAACTTACTTTAAAGTAGTATACATTTTTTACATGTATATGCAGTTTTAAACTATTTTGACCAGTTAACTGCCACGATATTTTGAATTTAATTAAAAAAGGTCTGCTGCTTGCATCTATAGATGCTTGTGGCATATAAATGGTTAAAGTATGTAAGTACTGATTTGTAAAGCATATGCAAGCTTGTAAGGTATTTTAAAGGTAACTTCTTTGACACCTGGAATCATAACTGATTTTTTTTCCCCTGCAGCTACACATTTGTTGTTCAAATGCTGTGCTTTAAAAGACCAGTTATGCCGAGACCGGTTTGGCTCAATGGATAGAGCATCGGCTTGGGGACTGAAGGGTTCCGGGTTCGATTCCGGTCAAGGGCATGTACCTTGGTTGTGGGCATATCCCCAGTAGGAGGTGTGCAAGAAGCAGCTGATCGATGACTCTCTCTCATCGATGTTTCTAGCTCTCTAGCTCTCTCCCCTCCTCTCTGTACAAAATCAATAAAATATGTTTATTAAAAATAAATAAATAAATAATAAAAAATAAAAGACCAGTTATGATCCTAATTTTACATCTAAACCTTGAAATTACCTATTTAAAGGAATTTGGAAAACCCTTTGTGGTTACTAATTAAAAGAGAATTAGTATTTCAGAAAACTGATTAATAATAGCTAAAGCATCAGTAACCAGTAACTGTCTAAAACTACTTTCACAACAAAACAAGTAAAACAAGCTGTTCCCTGAATTCCCACATCCTATATAATAAAAGGCTAATATGCAAATCAACCAAATGGCAGAACAACTGGTTGCTGTGATGTGCACTAACCTCCAAGGGGCAGATGCTTAATGCAGGAGCTTTCCCCTGGTGGTGAGTGTGCTCCCACAGGGGGACTGGGGCAGTGAGAGCTGGCCTAAGTCATCAGTTGGACAAGGGCTCCCCGACTAGGAGAGGGCACAGGCTGTGCTGAGGAACGCCCCCTACCCCAACCCCAGTGCACGAATCTGATGCACCAGACCTCTCGTTAATCAATAGTTTAGGGCCGAAGCCGGTTTGGCTCAGTGATAGAGCATCGGTCTGCGGACTGAAAGGTCCCGGGTTCGATTCCAGTCAAGGGCATGTACCGTGGTTGTGAGCACATCCCCAGTGAGGGGTGTGCAAGAGGCAGCTGGTCGATGTTTCTCTCTCATCGACGTTTCTAGCTCTCTGTCTCTCTCCCTTCCTCTCTGTAAAATATCAATAAAATATATTTTAAAAATAAATAAATAAATAAATAAATAAATAAATAAATAAAAAATAAATAAATAGTTTAGGTAGCCTGGCCAGCGTGGCTCAGTAGTTGAGCATCAACCTATGAACCAGGAGCTCACAGTTAGATTTCCGGTCAGGGCACATGCCTGGGTTGCCGGCCGATCCCCATGAGGGGGTGTGCAGGAGGCAGCCAATCAGTGATTCTCTCTCATTATTGATGTTTCTCTCTCTCTTCCTCTCCTTTCCTCTCTGAAACCAATTAAAAAAAAAAAAAAACTTTAAAAAAAAATAGTTTAGCTTGCTTAAAACAGAACTAAGAAAGTTCAATTCAAAATCCAAAAATCAGTTTGTTCACGTGGACTGTGGCAAGTTCCCTGACACAGAGCAGGCCAGGCATCATTTATGCTACAGTTTGGGCAACAGTCTCCAAGTTCCCACTGTTCCAGGAGCAGCCGCCTCAAGGACCCCAGGCTTTAAAGAAAATAGTTTTTCTCCAAGTCAGTCATTATGTAGCTGAAAATTAAGGTCAAAATTTTGCTGGAAAAATAATCCATATTTTATTTAATCACTTTGTTGGCATTAAGAAATATTTGTAAAGAAAAGTAAAATTTGTCAGTATGACAGAAGCCTAGAGACAATCTTATTCCTATAATAGAGGCCTGGTGCATGAATTCATGCTCCAGTGGGGTCCCTCGGCCTGGTCTGCGGGATAGGGCTGAAACTGGCTCTCCGACATCTCCAGAGGGATCTTAGGTTGTGAGAGGGTGCAGGCCAGATCAAGGGACCCCACCATGCACAACTGGTGCCAAGGAGGGTTGCAAGAGGTTGGCCAGCCGGGGAGGGACTGCAGGAGGGCTTCAGGGCACGTTTAGCATCTTGCTCAGACCCAATCAACCAGAGCCCAGCAGCAAGCTAACCTACTGGAGTTCCCCCAGGTGGTCAGTGCATGTCATAGCGAGCAGATGAGCGGCCATAGCATATCATTAGCATATTATGCTTTGATTGAATGGCTGACCAGCCAACGGGACACTTAGCATATTAGGCTTTTATTATGTAAGATGTCAGTTATATAAGGATAAAAGATGGTGGATAGGGACAGAATTCTTTGCCAAAAGAGATTAACTAGTAAAGACAGAAAAATGGCCCAGCCAGCATGACGATTGGGTTGCAGGCTGGATCCCCAGTGTGAGGCGTGCAGGAAGCAGCCACTCAATGATTCTCTCTCATCACTGATATTTCTATCTCCCTCACCCTCTCCCTTCCACTCTAAAATCAATAAAAATATATATTAAAAAAGAAAAAAAATCCTTTTCCTGTCCCAGTTTACCTCCTCCTTTCCTTCAGTGTATCTAACCTGGTTTCTTTTCCAGTAGCTATTTGTATATCATTTAAATCAATCTTTCCCAATATAATTTTCCTATCTCAATTTAAAATCATATAACTGAACATATTATATTCCTTTTACAAGTAAAACATTCAAACTTATTTAAGTCATTTTTTATAAACTTTGTTATTCTCAGCTTTTTTTTGGTAGCATTGTTCTTTAATAGGTAATAAACTCATTTAAAGCATTTAAGAGTGATTATTTTTAATAAAATGGGAGTAAATTATTTGACTTTATTTGTATTTTTAAAAGATTACATCATCACTGTCTAAGTTCTGATGGTAGTATAATTTACCTACCATTCAGAAGAAGACATAATGTTCCTTAAAGATTCCTAATTTTCACCAAAAATTTTTTGAAGGAAAAGTATTTTTTAAGTTAAACTGGAAATCAATATGAAAACATAACAATATACAATGATCTGTTTGGTGGACTTTTCTAAGAACACTTTTAGCACAAATAGGATCAAGTTATATTCAAACTGTCACAGTAGGCTAACTAGTAATAAATAAAAAGGCATTTCTAAAGTAAAGCTTTACTTGAGGACAATATCTTTAATATTTGAACTTAAGTACAAATATGATTTTAGGTTCCCTAAGGGTGTTGGCAAATGGATACATAGACAGTTGGGATCTTTATAATTTTTGACACAAAATATAATTCATGATTATAATGAACTGACATGATGTATTATGCTAACATATGCATTTCAAATTTGAGAGGTTTTATAGTGCCTTGTTTAACATTGAGACAATTAACATTAAGGCAAATAACATCCTATGGCACAGTTGTGAACTTTTCCAGAAATTCAAAACATGCAAATGCATGCCAAAAGGCAGACATGCAAAACATTCAAGACCACTATCTTCCACAAATGTTATATATACAGCAAATTTAAAGAGACTATAAAATGAATTTGCATTTTTAAAGATGTTAGAGGTCGGAAAGAATGAGGTCATGCTAAATGGCACTCACAAGCATTCTAGGATTAGAGAACGGCTTTCAAATCCCAACATTAAGATGGGCCCAATCACCAAAAGTGAGTACGTTTTCAGATACAACAAATGGAATAAAACACACCAAATACATACAAAAGGTAATAGTGCAACTTTCTTAAAACATACAATTAATTTAAGCTCAAAGTATAATTTTAAATAATTTTATTACATACAAAATGGTAAGCCACAAATGTTGAAAAAAGAACTAGAAAATATTTTAAAAGTCTAAAAAACTATATAACACAACAGTGATTATCCTTGTGCAGGGAAACTGTAAGAAATTTAAAAGGTTTTTTTTCCCTTTCTTTTTAGTTTATATATATTCTTATTTATTATATGTGAACATTCATAATATGAGTTATAAAAAAGGAGTAATCACTAAAGAAAGAGTGATAGGCTTTTAATATATAAGGATCACAAACAAGTTAGGAATGTGTGAGTATAAATATCAGAGTTTTAAAAAACAACAGAAATGTGGATATTTGAGATGCCATATATATAATATTTGAAAATTATCTAAATTCTAGCAATACAAAACTGGGTCAGTCACGCTATGGGATATTAAAGAGTTAAAGAGCTAAATCTAAATATACCTATAGTGATTAAAAAAAAAGAGATCTCCAACATATAAACAAAAAACAAGTATAATGTCATCCTATTTATGTTTTTAAAAACTCACACTGTGTTAACATTTTTGATAATATGAAAAAAATCTGGACGGGTAAACACCACACTTTTTCCTTCTGAGGGGTAGGGAGTGGGCCAGAGAGAACCTTTCTGTGTTTATGCTACAAACTTATGTGCTAGTTGAGCTTTTTACAAAGAAAACGTATTATTTCTATAGTTTAATAGACAAATGTAAAGAAGTGGAAATACTGTGAAACCCTTTTATCCTACCTAATGGGACAAGCACATCCCTTATCCTGTGCCTCCTTGAACTCCTTACTCCCTGGCATTGCACAGAGCTGTTAGTGGTTTCGTTTTGCCTCCTCCATCTTGAGTGGACAGAGATTTTGTTGTGCTCATGCCTGCATTTCAACTCTGCAGTTGGCACAGAGCATATTAAGTTGTTATGGATGTTATTGCCACTATAAGTACAACAGAAAATGCAATGAACAAATCTATGCTTTGCGGTTTGTTCTCCAAAGAACAATCTTGTTTTTGTAATAATTTTGTAAAATATCAACTGCTCAAAGAATTCAACCTTTAAAAAGAAAAAAAAATATTTTGCTTTAAAAATTAGTTTTAGGATATATAGGACCTTTGAAATATAAATTTTGTATCCAGTCCAAATAATACAATTTCAAATAAACATGACTCTTTAAATGTCTTAGTATTTTATACATACAAAAAAAAATTGACGTTTAGTATGTATAAAATACTAAAAACTGTATCTTATATATTGTTGTCACTTAAATCAATGATAATTTAAACCAATCAGACAAAATACCATGTTTTTGGCACACTGTTTATCTAATATAATTTCCAAAATATATATTTTGCTTTTAAAAAAAAATGAATGACCAATTTAGAGCATAAGGATACTAATATAATTTATCTTATATTGATTTCCTAAAATATATATATTATTTCTCTCTGATCATTAAGTTAAGCCTTTAGAATGCAACTTATAATGTTTTGCTAAGTATGCAAAACAACAGCACCCTGGCTTTACAGGGCTGAAACACAAATTTTAATTCTCTGGTGTTAGCTCAGCAACAAAATGCGCATGCACAGGACTGTGAGAAACTAAATTACAAGGCATCGCCACCTGGCCCATTTAATGAAGTATGGCAAGTGGTTGAGAAGACTGAATGTGTAGAAGGAATAGCGAGTAATCTCTGTCACAGTCCACGCGACCAGAAAAAGCACCACACTCTCCTCATTCTGGATCTGCAGAATGACAAGAGAAATCCACAGTGTCGTTTAAGCTTGAGCTTTTTTCTCCAGGAAGATATTTTATCTTAATTATCTACTGTGTGTCTTTTATTATAATGGAACGGTAGGGTTAGATGTAATACAGAAAAAGAATGCAGTCACCATTACATAATTCATTATAAACACACAACAGTGTATCCTCAGCACAGGAATGGTCACATTTGTCCTGGATTCTCTCTCACAATTCACTCCAGCCAGTAACTCAGCTATCCCAGGGCAACATTGCCCCCTCAAAACAGCATGGAACAATCTAACCCTCCGACTTTCTCTGAGTCATCAAATCGGATCCATTCCACTGTCGCACGAACTCTTGAATCTGCTCACTCATCTTTGGCCCTGCTACTACCAATTGAATCCAAGGCCTCGTCATCTCTCATCCAGACTATCATGACAGCCTCCTAAAAAAATCTCTCCACTGCTTTATTCTCTTCATGGGTGTAAGTTTTCTCTTAAAAGCAAAACAAAGAAGAAAGCAAACAAAAACAAAACTGGGAGCAGGCAGCCAGTCCTGTGGTTTAAGTCTCATTGGATTCCCACTATTTGAGAGGAAATGATACAATCCTACCACCTGAGCATGAAGTTCAAGGTTCTTTATAATCTGAGCTCAGAAATCTCTCCAACTTCATCTGCAAACACTTGACCCAGCCCCAGCCAAATCCCCAACACATCTCTCTGGTGACAATAAACTTTGAATTCTTTCCAGAACATGCTCTGAACACTTATGCCTTAACACATGTTACTCCCTCTAACTAGAACACTAATCCTATAGAAAACCCCTTCTCACCTCATATTTTAAGATCCAGCTAAAGTATCACACCCTCTAGAAAACTTTCCCCAAACAATGCCTTTCACCCTGAGCAGTCATTTGCTCACTTTCCTTGTTCTCACAGTATTTTGTTCATATCTGTATTATAACAGATATTTGCCAATTTTGTACTAAAATTTGTTTACCTGGCTCTTGTCTACCTATCAATACTCAACTCATACATTCTTTCTTCAGGGAGCCTTCCTTCACTTCCTAGGTCAGGCTAAGTCCCGAAGTATATTGCCATGCAGGCTGGTCTCTTGGTTCAAAGTACTAACGTTAATATAATGAAACAATTATTTGTGTAACGGCTTGTCTAGTGTCTATCCCAATCACAGGCTCTGTGAGGCAGGTACTATATTTACATTACTAATAGCCAGGTCCCCAGCATGTTGGCTGGGACTGCCTTATTCATCAGAAATTAACATCATGCTAAGTGTATAGAATGCACTCAATAAATGTTGGTTGAATTAAAGAGTTAGATAAAATTAAATAGTAGTAATAAAGCAGAGATAAAATTAAATAGTACTAATAGTACTAATAAGGCAGAGATCCTCTGGAGGATAAAAGAAGAGCAAGCAGTGGATCTTTTTTCTTTTGGGTACTAGCCACCATAAGCTTGTTTTCAAATTCTTTTCTCCGGTTAATGTTGGCCACCCTGTCTTTTCTTCTTTCTCAGGCTTCAGACTCTTTGCGGTCCTGGCACAGCTGTCATATTCACTCCCTGTCCAGAATAGTCTCTCTTTTATTTTGTTAATGTCCGACACCTTCTTTTAAACTACACAGCAATCTGAATTAAAAGTCTGGATCTCCATGTGGCATGCACTCAATGCTCTCCGTATGGCAGTCATTGGTTAGGGACCAGATGGATAGAGTAAGTTGAGTGAAAGATACTGGTCAAGAGGGCTAGAGTGTAGAGTAATAAGAGGGCAGAAGGTCAACAATCTGTCCCCATGCAGACAAGGGGTGGGGAGGGGGGGCAGTGAGTCTTGCAGGCAATGGAAGGGAGGTTAAGTATCATCCCAAGTAGAGAAAGGCATCTGAGGAATGGAAAGGAGGCCAGAGATCTGTCCTCAAGTAGACAGGAGACTCCAGAGGCTGACAAGAAGGTCAGAAGGGCCCCTCTGAGAAATGTTTGTCATGGGTTTAAAAGGCCCAATGTCTTGACATAGTAAGCATGTGTTTGTTTGTCTAAATGGGTTTAAGCCATTAACTAGATTTGGGTCTCTCTCCTGTCATGCCTTAATAAATAATGTGCTTGTTTTCCATAAGTTCCTTAGCCCTTCTATCTTTTTGTCCTTGACATTTATTTGTATCTCCAAAACTACATTTACTTTTTATGTGTATTGCTACAACACTCAGTGCTAAATGAGGACAAATAAATGGTTTACATGGACAAGTTCAAATTACATAAGCAAAGACAATATACATAACTTCAGTAGAAAATTTTCCATTAACCATTTGACAGAACAGTAATATTATTCATTTTAAAAACTGGAACACACCAGAGGGAGTAATTATGAATAGAAAATGCTAATATTTGGTTTTGCTTGTACTTCAAAGTTAATTCTACTAATTCGTTGAGTCAATGGACAAACACACTTAAATTGAAATCCAGATTTTATTTTGCCCAATGATTCTGCTTCCTGAAATATACCAGTACTAATATTTTAGATGCCTATTAATAAGAGAGCTGTCTTGCAGGCTCAAGTAGAGAACATGTTCGTGTTACTTACTGGTTTTATGCTATGAGTAATGAGCCACACCATAAAGATTCTGGAACTGACTTGGACCCCAGCCACAAGCACAGAAGTAGGTACAATTCCTTAAAGAGAAAAAGAAGTCAACCATTGTCTTCACGGTAATTTATACCAAACATAAAAGTTAAATAAAAAGCTCACCAATTAAACAGTGGACTATCTGTAAGCAAATAAAAAAAAAATCACAAGTCAGTACCATACAACATAAAATAAATCCCAGTTGACATTGGTTTTAAATGAATCTGTAGGTGGTATGTAATCAGCAAAGTTGCTTTTGCTCAACAAATGTATATTCAAATAAATATTACAATGACAAAAAACAGAATCACTAAAAACTTACCTCAAGCAAGGCAAATGTCTGGAAAAATTTAAGTGTCTTCTGAATACTTTTATATAAACCTTTGTGTGTTCCTTTTTCCATATAAAAACGCACCATGGTAATAGCTAGAACCAACCACCTAGAGAAAATGAAAGTATTTTATAAAGTTTTGTCAAAATGAATACAACTAATCTTCCTATAAAGAAATACCATAATTTAAATAATAATAACATGTATGTCTTATGCTCTCAATTTGTTATTATGTTTTTAAAATCTGAGGAAGAAATAACAAATATCATCTTCAAGGGGATGAACAGAACATATTTAAAACCAACTACATACAAATGTCAAACAATGTCCACTGTATCTTTGGTTCCACCAGATAAACTGACAGACTGGGGAAAAAAAAATGAACTTACTATTAAGCATTTAGTAATCAAATAGTGACTTCTTAAGGTAAAAAGCTGTGTAAATATGTATTTTATTACAAATACATAATACATAACTATATGCAATTATAAGGAAAATCATTAATAAGAATCAATATTTTTACAATTTTCATTAAATAAAAACAATTGTTATGTCACACAACAACCTCTAATATATGGAACACAGCAAAAGCAGTCCTGAGAAGGAAGTTTATAGCATTACAAGCCTACCTTAAGAAACAAGAAAAAGTTCAAATGAACGATCTAACCCTAAAACAAAAAGAATCAGAAAGATAATAACAAGAAAATCACAGAGTACATAGAAGAAAAGAAATTATAAGGATCAGAGTGGAGATAAATGACATACAGACTAAAAAAAATAAATAAATAATAATAATAATAATAATAATACAAAAGATCAATAAAACCAAGAACTTGTCCTTTGTTTTTTTTTTTTTGTTTGTTTGTTTGTTTTAATATATTTTATTGATTTTTCACAGAGTGGAAGAGAGAGGGATAGAGAGTTAGAAACATCGATGAGAGAGAATCATCGATCAGTTGCCTCTTGCACACCCCCTACTGGGGATGTGCCTGCAACCAAGGTACATGCCCTTGCCCAGAATCGAACCCGGGACCTTTCAGTTCGCAGGTCGATGCTCTATCCACCGAGCCAAACTGGTCTCGGCAAAACCAAGAGCTTGTTCTTTGAAAAGATAAACAAGATCAATGAACCTTTAGCCAGGTTTATTGAGAAACAAATAGAAAAGATTCAAGTAAATAAAATCAGAAGTAACAACTGACATAACAGAAATACAAGAGATTTAAAGAAAATGCTATGAACAGTCATATGCCAACAAACTGGACAACTTGGATGAAGTGGACAAATTCCTAGAAACGGACAATCTTCCAAAACTCAATCAGGAAGAATCTGAAAACCGAAATAGGCCAATGGCAACGAATGAAATTGAAGCAATAATCAAAACACTCCCAGCAAACAAAAGTCTTGGATTACATGGCTTCACTGGCAAGTTGGAGAACTAACACCTATCCTCCTCAAACTATTCCAAAAAATTCAAGAGGGAATTTAAGCTCTTTTGACAAGGCCAGCATTATCCTAATTCCAAAATTAGATAAAGATACTACAAAGAAAGAAAATAACAGGCCAGTATTCCTGATGAACATAGATGCTAAAATCCTCAAACAAATATTAACAAATCGGATCCAGCAATACATGAAAAAAACCATGACCAAGAGGAATTTATTCTGGAGATGCAAGGCTGGTACAATATTCACAAATCAATGAATGTGATACATCACATAAACCAAATGAAGGATAAAAATCACATGACCATATCAGTAGATGCAGAAAAAGCCTTCAACAAAGTCAACACCCATTTATGATAAAAACTCTCAGCAAAATGGGAATAGAGAGGTCATACCTCAACATAAAAAAGCCATATATGACAAACCCACAGCCAACATCATACTCAATAGGCAAAATTTAAAAGTGTTTCCTTTAAGATCTGGAACAAAACCGGGATATCTGCTTTCACCACTCTTATTCCACATAGTACTGGAAGTCCTAGCCCCAACAATCAGACAAGAAGGAAAAATAAAAGGCATCCAAATCAGAAAAGCAAGAGTAAAAGGGTCATTATTTGCAGATGACTAGTAAACATAGAAAATCTTCAAGACCACACACACACACACACACACACACACACACACACAAAACAAACAAACAAACAAACAAACAAAAACCCTACTAGGTTTAATAAATGAATATGGCAAAGTATTAGGATACAAAATTAATATCCAGAAATCAATGGCATTTTTATACACCAGTAATGAACTATTAGAAAGAGAAACTTTAAAAAATCCCATTTACCACCACAACAAAATAATAAGATACCTGGGAACAAACTTAACCCAGAAGGTAAAAGACCTGTACTCAGAAAACTATAGGACACTGAAAAAGGAAATAGAGGAAGATACAAATAAGTGGAAACATATACCTTGTTCATGAATTGGAAGACTTAACATCATTAAACCAAAAAACAATCTATGCATTCAACTCAATCACCATTTAAATACCAACGGCATATTTCACAGATCTAGAACAAATATTCCAAAAGGTATATGGAATCACAAAAGACCCCAAATAGCCTCAGCAATCTTGAGGAGGAACAAAATGGAGGGATCACAATATCAGACATCAAACTATGCTACAAAACCACTGTAAAAAAAATAATAATCATAATTAATTAATTTTTTTTAAAAAGCCTGGTACTGATGCAAGAACAGGCATATATGGTAAATCAATGGGAAGAACAGACCCCAGAATTTGACTCACGCCAATATGTTCAACAAAGGAAGCAAGAGCATACAATGGAGTAAAGACAGTCTCTGCAATAAATGGAGTTGGGAAAATTGGACAGATACATGCAAAAAAATGAAACTAGACCACCAACTTACACCATACACAAAAATAAACTCAAAATGGATAAAGGACTCAAATGAAAGTAATGAAACCATAAAAATCCTAGAAGAAAACATAGGCAGCAAAATCTTAGACATCTCACATAGCAGAATTTTCGCTCATACTCATAAAGCAAGAGAAACAAAGGGAAAAAATTAACAAATGGGAATACATCAAGCTAAAAAGCTTCTGCATGGCAAAAGAAACCATCAAAATGAAAAGGGAACCCAAAGTCTGGAAGGCATACTTACCCATGACACATCTGATAAGGAATTAATTTCCACAATATACAAACAACTCATACAATTGAACACCAGGAAGATAATGTTCACCAAATGATTATCATGTGATTACATCGAATTGCGGACAGTAACTGGTTCTGTTTTCCCATGGTGTGACTTTCCACAGCAGTTTTAGCGCATGTCGGCTTATGTTCCCATGGGCACTACGCCACCCCCCAAGAGTGTGTATGTGTTTACTCACAGTGACTGATGAATACACACATTTCTAGACCTGTTCGGCCTAAATGTAAATTACTGTGACACATATAGAAAACTTTTCTGTGAAATTAAACTTTCCATATTTACTTTTTTTTAAATATATTTTTTATTGATTTTTAACAGAGAGAAAGGGAGAGAGCGAGCTAGAAACGTCGATGAGAAACATCGACCAGTTGCCTCTTGCACACCCCCTACCAGGGATGTGCCCGCAACCAAGGTACACGCCTTTGACCGGAATCGAACCTGGGACCTTTCAGTCCACAGACCAACGCTCTACCACTGAGCCAAACCGGCTTTGGCTCCATACTTACTTTTAATTATACAAACGTGTCTACAGAAGTAAAAACTAATTTGTCAATTTCTTAACATACATATTCATAAAACCTAATTTATTATATAATGGATTTTCAGCTTTAACAGATACCCCCTCACCCAAATTAATCCATTATATCCAGGGTTTACTATATTTTTAAATAGCATGATATAAAAATCCATGCATTATAACATTATAACAAGTTTTACTGTTGCTCTATAGGTGGCAGTATTGTACCAACTAGTATAGTATGATAACACACCTGTTTAAAATAAAGGAAATTAATACTGTGGGGTTAGAAAGGGCCACTGAACCATTTATGCTAACCCCTCATCTGTTTTTCAGTAAATATGCTAGGAACTAATCTGAACTAATTAGTGCTCTCTCCTTAAGTCCAACCATCCAACCTCTCCTAAGTGCCCTACCTTTACCTAATTTTGGACCTCCTACAACCATCAGTTTAGTAAGTGTAATAAAACCAAAAGTATTCCAAAAACAATGAGAACTTCTGCATTTAGAAATTCTTTTCTGAAAAGTTGTTTGTTTTTTAATATGCCAGAGCTACTGATTACCCAAACACAAACACAAATAGATATATTCAGTCTTTGATAAGATACTCTTGTGGAAAAATATAAACATATATTCCATTTTTAGAAGGTGCCTTGCTTACTTGTTTAATTCATCTGTGTATTCATTCATCTTCAGGTTCAACATTTCTTGCTGAGCTAGACAGAGTGCTAGATGCTGGGGAACTAGAGGTAAACAGGATAGCTCTTACCTCAAGGAACCAAATTAGTAAGTGGAGACAACAGAACAGTGCTGTAACAGGAGATATATGCCATCACTTGCTAAACACAGGGCCTTATTCTCATGCCAGAATGGCTATAATGACCCCGAAAAACCCTATAGAGAGAGGAGCTTTCCTCTAGCTGTCTTCTCTTGCTTCTTTCTCTCCTGAGATTTCTTGGAGATCACCTGCTCCTTGAAGAACTTGATTATCTATATCTCCATTTTTTCTTTAAAAAATTAAACACTGCTTTTTAAATTTTTATTACAAACAATTTCAAACATATACAAAAACATAGAGAATGGTATAATGTGCCCTTTGCCCACCTTCAAACCACTGTCTATATACAACCTTGTTTCATCCAAACCTCTAATCATTTCTCTCCCCACTATTACTCTTCCCTCATTATTTTGAATCAAATCATACATCCTATAATTCATAAATGTTTATTATGCATTTCTAAGAGCATTGGTTTTAATCAACATATCCCATTTTTTAATCTTCACTCAAGGATATGTTTTTATTGGGGGGGGGGGGGAGAGAGAGAGAGAGAGAGGGAAACATTGATGCACCCAACTGTGGATCAAACCTAAAACCTTCTGGTTTACTGGATGCTCCAACCAACTGAGACA